AACAAAGCATAACTACCTGGTTCAATAAAGCTGTTGGTAAAAACAACAACATTAAGACTGATTTCCTCAAAAAAGGAAAAGAAGAAATCGGAAATCTAGCTTCCAATGATCAAGACAGCATCACCAAGGACGGACCTCCCCAAAATATATCAACTACTAGTACAACTTCCAGTTTAATTTCACAAGAGCAAGAGGAATTCACAATATTGATGCCCAGATTCAAAATCATCTCCAAAAAGCTTCATCAAAGTCTAGTTATGATGAGCACATAATATTCAAGAAGGAGTATGAGAGATTGAGTGAAGTAATAGCCTACTTGAAGCAGGAGTACAGGGGCCGTGCAAAAAAAACAAGTTTTAAATATCCTGCATTGGGACTCGATGAGCTTCAAGAGTTTAATAATCTATGGCACAAAAATCACAGAGCTGGAGTTCTGCATCCAGCAATTGCAGCTTCCTTGACTGCTGCTAGTTCTTCAAATCAACATCTTCAAACTGGAATGAAGCAATTCATTACTAGCACTAGCCGAGAAAAGCAATTGCAATACCAGGCCAAGTATGTCCTTGACAACAAGGAGCTTTACTTTTCTAATAAAGGCAAAGGTGCCAAGCAGAAAACCGCTCTTGATGAATCTCTGTTATTCAAAGAACTCTTGTTTGGGCAGCGGCACCAATTCCTGGTCATGTAAGTGGGCAAAATTTGTCTTTTCATTGCAATTGTTAGCTCTCAATCTAAATGGTTTGAGTTTTTTTTCATAAACAGGTCACTCCAAGGTTGTTTCTTGAATATTCAAACAGTGTACTCACTCGACATGGCCACAAGACAGTAAGCATTATCACTGCCACTCAATGGATGTATAAACTAGGAATCCAAGCCCAGAATCATCAAAAATCACTTTACTATGATGTCCAGTCTAGGAAGGTGTTTCTGGAGGATGTTGCACAATTGCACAAGTACTCCAACAGATACAATGGTGAGGATTGCAAGATCCCAGTTCTTGTTGACCCAGAAGTTCTTCAAGACAACCACGAGACAGTTTTTGTCTAACACAATGAGTCAACAGTCTATGCCAAAGAGCGGCCAACCACCTATTGGCTTCTGCCTGGAGCAAACAAACTCTGATCAAAGAGTCTTGGTTGGTTAATTCATATCTCAGACTTCATTTTAGAGTCAACTGGCCGACTAGTTCTATTGGAAGCACAGAAGCTCTCCCTTGGCCTCACATTTTCAGATGCAGCAACCATTATATATCCCGGATCCCAGGGTGATCTATGGTGGGATATGGATCAGCTATGCAAGCAAGTTTCTAAAAAGGCATTGCCTATTTTTGAAGCTTACACCCTAGCTTCCAGGGTGTATTTGTTTTTGACTGTTTGTCAGCCCATGAGGCATATGGACCCCATGCCCTCCGTGCTCAGAAAATGAACCTTGGTCCTGGAAGGAAGCAAGCTCGGCTGCGCAATACTGTCATCCCAAGCAATGACCCAACAATTCCAGAACATCTTTGAAGACAACTTCAAGAGATGCGTTTCCCAGAAGATCATGTCATTTCAACTCTAGCCCACCAACCCAAAGGAATCCAGAAGGTCCTGAGTGAGTGGGGGTTTTGGCAGAATTACACCACTACTAGAAGTAATGCTTGCTTTCCACCTCTTTGGTTGAGGTGCAAAGAATGTGCTCAATCCGGTGCAATGAAAGACATTGAAAATAGAGCCTCAAACTCAGTCAAGCATGCCGAGGCAGAAGGATACTTCCTCAACATGCAACAGTGTCTTCAGGAGGAATTAGAATCTTCCAAGGTGACACTGTTGAGATCTGACCTCAATCTGACCCTCTCATCCTCTAGTGGTGTTTTTCCTAAGAAGACTGGATTACATAACCGGATTAATTCCGCAATTCCAAATGACATCATCACATCCCCTGTCACTCATATATAGTGTTCTCTTTCCTTCAAACTCTTTTCCGCTCCTCATGACTCCAGAAACTTGAAACTAATTATCATTAGACTAAATTCTATCTCTTCTGGTTTCATCTCTGTTGTTCTCACATTGTTACATCAAACAACCTCTATCACATTATCTAAAACTATTCATTCTATTTGACTCCGGTCATCTCTCATCTCAATACAATCTTGCTTCCCTTCTATCCGACACTTTGCTGATTCACAATCCCTTCTACTCAACTCTCCGCCGATACCTCTATGAGTCTAAACAGTTCCCTTATCATCGTAGGTTCTCATCATCTTTGCGCTATTGACTGGGTTGAGACCTCATCTGACAATCTTCAACATTAGTTTTTTCTCTCACTGTCTCTTTTATTCCTTGTTGTCATCACGTGCTTTGTACCACTGCTCCTGCCTTAAGGTACTACTTTGTTTCTTTTATTTTTCTTTTTTTCTTTTATATTGTATTTCTTTATTATTGAGCTGATAAAGAAATCCTACCCTAAGTTTGATACTTAATAGACACTTTCACCAAAAAGCTGTAATTCAACTACATGCTGCTGGTCCATGATCATGTGATGTCAATCTGATTTCTGAGCTGAGAAGCCTCTCCTCCAAGCGATAATCAAACAAGCTGGTCACACTTGCCTCTTTCTCCCTAAATTCCACTGCAAACTTAATCCAATCAAGCTCTTTGGGTGTATGTTAAAGATAGTAAGCTTTTTTTTCTTTGATGTGAATTCTACTGTTGAAGCTAGTACTCACTGAATCCTTTTTTTTCAGATTATAGAAAACAGAGTCATACTGCCATCCAATAGAAGCAGGCACATCATCCCTGACATGATTTCCCAGATGGGAAATCTTGTAAGTTTTAGGGAAATCCTGTAAAAAATTAAAGATTTTTCTGAATTTTTTAGATTTTTCTAGATTTTTCCAGATTTTTTAGATTTTTCCAGATTTTTTAGATTTTTTAGATTTTTCCAGATTTTTCAGATTTTTCTAGATTTTTTAGATTTTTCTAAATGTTTTAGATTTTTCCCAACTTTTGGGATTTTTTCAGATTTTTTAGATTTTCAAGATTTTTCTAATTTTTCCAGATTTTTCAGATTTTTTCAGATTGTTTGGACTTTTTAATTTTTTTCAACTTATAGATGTCTCTTATAAAAAAAACTGGAAAAATCTAAAAGATCTGGAAAAATCTAAAAAATTTAGAGAAATCTAAAAAAATCTAGAAAAATAAAAAAAATCTAAAAAATCTAAAAAATCTGGAAAAATCTAAAAAATTTGGAAAAATCTAAAAAATCTGGAAAAATCTTTAATTTTTTTTACAGGATTCCCCTAAAATATATACAAGATTTCCCATCTGGGAAATAATGTCAGGGATGATGTGAGGTACAAGTGCTCTTTGAAAAGAGCTCCAAATCTTGCCTTCTGTTGACAATCCAAAAATTCTTCCTCAAAATCAATCAGCAACACTTGGCTTATGCACTTGGTCTCACAGGACCTGCAGTGCAGATGGCCATGAAAAAGTATTCATCTCATCATCACATTCCAAGGGCTGCAATGATGGATGTGTCAATCATGACTACAAGTTAGCCAGACACTGGGTTTTCCTATTTTTTTTTCTCCTTCTTCCCTCAATAACATGTATTTAGATGATCTATATGCATAATACATACCATATCAATACATATTGCATACCCACTAGGTCATAGTATGGCCTTTTTACATGGGTGTTCCAAATTTTGAATTTGAAAATTCCAAAACTTTTTTGTCTTGCATGCTACACACAACGCTGCCACAGATACGGTATCTGCCTGTAACTGCCATGTATCACTATGTATCTGAGCCCCAATAAAAAAAAAACTATCTGACCAATCTGCTTTTATTTGCAAGGAGATTCAACAAATTTGGTTTTTGGCCATGCAGCTTTGCAGAATTCTCCATGATACACACAGTGTATCGTATTTGTGGCAGCGTTGCTACACAATCTTGCTTTATATTTTTGAGTTCTACTACTTCTGTAGAGCTCAAAAATGTGTTGTTTACACATGTAGTGTGGTTGGTGTGAACAAACATAAAGATTGAAGTTAATTTTTTGTTTGCAGGTGCGGGGTAGTTGAGAAGAAGTGATGCACACTGTAGAGTAAGAAGAGACCAAGACAAACACCTGTACAAAGGATGCATTGTGCTAGATATTCATTCAAACACCATTTGCAAGCAACAACTAGCTGAGACATGTCAATTGTTCAGTCACCTTTTTTTTTTTCTGAGCACATTATACATGGCCTGATTGCCTCAACCACCATCAAATGTTTCAATAGACACCAAGGGATCTCAAGGATGCCCAGGTTTCAGGATGTTAAAGTGGGTCAAGGTCAACCTACAAGTGACCACTGACCCGGTCAGGTCAATGTTATGTGAAAAACAAAAATAGGTCTTGATTACCGGGCTTGGGTTTGGGCAGCGTATTTTGATTTCAGGTTGGCCCAACAAACCCGACTACCAACCCGCTTAAGGATAGTCCAGTCCGTGGGTTGGCTTCTCTAGAAGCAACAGTGCAACAGAGACAACACAAGACGGTATCAGGGGTTTATTTGTATCCTCTCAGAATTTGAATACCCAAAAATACCATTTTTGTGTTGTCTCACTCTCATGAGATGATACACATGTATCATTTTTGGAAAGTGAAAACTTTGCAAACTTCAAAGGACACTTTGGTTGCAGCCTTGCACGCCATCCCATCTGTTGAGACTTCAGGATCTTGGGACCACGTATGACCAACATTCATCAAATCCGCAATCAATAATCACGAGTGACTCTCCAATCTCTTGAGCCTTGCACTACCATCCGGACGGACCCGGAAAGTGACCTGCAACCCAACCCAGACCTGCCTGCTCCCCTAGGTGGGCCAGGATCGGGCATCGATATTGACTTTATGACCCAACCCATTACTTTTGCCAGGTCTGGTTTGGGCTCTGTTTTTTGACCTGAACCCGACCCAGTTTCATCCTGACCCAGGTTAGACACTCTTATAACCACAGTCCATCTCTGATGCTTATATACACATGATATCCCCATCAGTATAAAGGAAAAACATAATGATAATGAATTGAGTCACTCATCAGAGTCCAGAGTTCAGAGTCAAAACACATTATAAAGACCGGTGCAGATGTTACATACAAGAACCATAAAGAAACAAAACAAATATAAACACCCAGAGATCTTTTTTCTTCTGCTTGTTATTGATGATGTTAGTTAAGTTAACATCACCATATATAATATAGATATAGATGAGATAAAAAGTCAATCAGACAACTTTCAGTGTGTGTGTGGATATATGTAACTATGTATATATATGTATATATGACTTTTGGGTAGCTACAACAGGGGATGAGGAGAGAAAAAGAGAGACAAGGGAGACAGAGATAGAGAGAGAGAGAGACAGAGAGACAGAGAGGAGATGGGGTAAGAAAGATCTGTGAGTATGAGGGGAAAAATAAGCTGGAAAAAAACCCCTGGTAGCAGTTCTTTTTATTTGGATGATAAAGTAAGAGTGATAATGATAATTCTAGTTGATGCTCGTTTTCTTTTGTGGGGTGGGGGGTAGGAAATACTCACAGAGCCAAGAACTGGTGGATAAATAGATTATGATAGTGTATAGACAGCTCATTTTTTTTTGTGATCTTCGACTAACGTCAAAATGATCAGAAGAAGAACGCTCATTTGGCTTTTTTGGCATATCGTAATCCGCATGCGTTGCAAAGAGTTTTACCTGCAGAACAAAAAAGAAAAAAAAAATGTAAGGAACAAGACGTAGAGAAAGAGACAGAGAGAAGAAGACTGACGGCCCATCGGACCTTTCCTCCATTCAGGGGACTGAGTGACGCCGCAATCGAGACAGAGGAAGTCGACGCGTTCTCGTTTATTAGGGCCACGAACGCGGGTGCGTTGGGCAGAATCGACGGGTTCCAAGGGAGGAGCAGAAAGCGGGAGAGGAGGGTGAACATCGTCCTCAGGATCGCTGTCTTTAGCTGCATGGTGGCTGTCTTCCTCGGCAGGCTCGTCTGGCTCTTCGGTCTTCTTCTTCTTCTTGTTGCTCGACTCAGCAGCTTCGCCACCAGCCTCGATCCTTGCCGTCGTCCCACTCCCACTCCCACTGGTTCGGTCGGCTTGCTTGGTACTTTCTCCCCCCTCTTCTTCTTCGTTCGTTCCTACTCCGACTCGACTATCAATTAATCTCTTCATCGCCTCGTTCTCTAACATCAACTCTAGAAACTCGTCCGTCAATCTTCCGCAACTCGTCGGATACGGCCGCGCATTGATGATAATCACTTGCTTCTCGTTCTTCGGTTCTCCTCTCAGATATCCTGGATTCGTCTTCACTCTTATCATGTGTCCCCTGGAGAGCGGCGAAAAAAAAAGTGGTCAAAATTTATGGAAATGTGGGTAGATAGATGATGTATGAGGACTTACATCATTTCGAAAATCACATAGCCAGTCGAACGTTTCTTCTTGAATCGACAATAAAAGTTGATCAGCCCAGCCGAGCCATCCTTGAAGCAATTCGAGATCTCTCTATCGAGGTTCGAGCGATCCTCGTCCTCATAACACCAGCTCGACATCTTAGCGCCCAAGAGTTCGGAGGTCGTAAAGCCGGTCAATCTGGCCATGCTTTCGCTAACAAACAGGAGCTCGCCCGTCGGTCCGATCACTTGCAAGACATCCATCACGTCTTCCACTAATCGCTTGTGCCAATCCTTCCTCCTCCTGAAATCTTGGGAGAGCATGTGACTCATCGGTTTTGATTTCGGTGATTTCGGTCGGTTGATCGAGGCTGAAGAACGATTGGCTTGATTCTGTGACTGAGAATGAAAATTCATAGGATTACTAGCAGTAGTAGTAGTAGTAGTAGGTCCAGTGCTCGTAGATGGGGTCTTGAGAGTGGAGGGGACTGGTGAGAGGAGGGTTTGGTTATCATTTTCAGGTTGACTGGTTGCTGGAGAGATGGGAGGGAAGACGACCTGAAGGCTATTCAAGGGGGGATGATGATTGAGAGGATGAGTATTAGTGGTGGGTTGGGAGGTGTTGAAAACATCAGCCTCACTACTACTCTTGAAACGACTTCCGGGATAGTGGAGTTGGGAGCTGATCGTTTGGAGTGGATCGATTGAGCCGAGTTGGTGAGGATGATGGTGATTTGATTCAAGTTGAGCTCGTTGGATGTCTAGGAATGGTTGTTGTTGTTGTTGTTGGGCTTGGGCTTGGGCTTGGTTGAGGTTGGTAGTGAATGATGGAGTGATGGGTGTGATTGGGTTGATGAGGAGGGGGTAGTGGTTATCTCCGAGTGGTCTGGTGCTCGGTTGGGTGTAGAATGGGTTGAAAGGAGTGCCGGTTGAGGGGTTCTCGGCTGTTAGTCCGAGTAGGCTTGGGTTGGATGATGATGATGAGGTGGATGTGGCTGGTTGGTTGAGACAGTCGTAGAGGGTGTTGATCTGTTCGGTTGGGAAGTCGAAGAAGGAGAGTGGTGAGGTTGAGGTATTGCTGTCGAGATAGTTTTCGAACCTGAAGCGAGGTTGTTGGTAAGTTGCTGTTGTTGTTGTTGTTGCTGCTGTTGTTGACTGTTCTTGCTGTTGACCGTTCTTGTTCTTGTTCTTGTTGCTGTTCTGTTGTTTCTTGTCTGGTTGTTGTTCTTCTGCTGCTGCCATCCTGTTTTGTTGGGTTTTTGTTTGATGTTGTGTTCGATCGGCTTGACCATTTCCAAGCGACTTGACACTCCAAGCCTGCACAGCCAGCACAGGCCCAGCAGTCTCAGACTCTTATGTAAGACAGCTTATGTACCGCAAGAAGATCATTGCGTCATCAGCAGCCCTATCTACGTAATCCCTCATATCAACTGCCCACTATGTACACGGATGAGTTCAACGTTCTGTCTCCCAGCTGCTAGGATCCAATTCTATGTACCAGGAAGGCAACCTACAATCAGTTCTTGTTCTTCTGCCCCATGCATTACTCACATCAGTCACTTCAAAAATAACATTCTCAACAGAGCACCCTGGAAACCCCCCTACAAATCGGAGCAACCAGAGATCCAGATTTCTCCCAAAATTCATAAATACATTTTCAAAAGCTATTCATATCCATTCTGTGCCTACCCTCCCTCTAGCATCTAGTAGGGTTAATCCATGTTGAAAAAAAAAGGGGGTTGGAAAAACGACTCCCAAAAATTAGTCGACGACTCCCGTTTTGGTCGAGGGGTCGTCGGCTGGGAGTCGTTCTTCCAAAAGATGGCCGACTTTGGGAGTCGGCCATCAAATGTTTTTTTTATTTTTTTAATTTATTTTTGGGGAGTCGGCGCCCCAAACCGCCCCTCATGCTTGAGGGGGTTTGGGAGTCGTCGCTCCCGCTCCCATGACCGACAAGAAAAAGAAGTCTTATCGACCGGAAGGGATTCCTTCCGGTCGATGAGGT